GAAAAACAAGGAGAAGTCGCGGATTCGACGGTCCCCATCCCCATAAGGTTGAGCCTACCTTCTATCCGCTCGCTTTCCTTGTGCAGGTACTCAGCCCATGAGGTACTGGCAGCCAGCAGATCGTCCAGCGTCACATTGTCATAGGAAGGACTATCGGCAAACGTTCGCAAGTTTCCACGGCACGTCTCTGACGTCACGGACGAGATCACACAGTTTGGAATCGCCTCACAATCGGTGGTATTTCCACTGAATACGGGCGAATCAGCAGCTGGTTCAGGCTGAAAATACGATTTTTTAGTTGAGTTCTTACCATTTCAATAAATAATTTCAGAGATGTTAGCGTGAGGGTGCTGTACTCCGTGGGGTTTGATTCACACTCACAAACTTTCTTACCTCGTTTGCTATCAGGGTAAGCAGTTGCTGCTGTAATTTTTACGCGATTTTTTGATTAAATAATGAATATCAAGCAATTGAGCAGGCAGTACTTTGCCCTTTACTGCTCCACTTTTTGTCTAGCCATCGGTGATAGAGCTGGCTAGAAATTTGAACCCTGTGCATGGATCTGACCACATGAACACGAACCTCGAATCCTTCTGGTACGGAGAAGCCTGATGCCCGCGCTACCGGCGCTGGCATCAAGGCGTCTATGGTGCGGCGCTAGCTGCTTCGCTCCAAAAAGGCTTGACGATCGTGATCGGAGGGTCAAGTTGGCACCAGAGTCGCGATTCTGACCAAATCTACCCCAGGGGCATGATTTGAAGAAACTAAGCTCAAGCTTGGAGAAGTGGGGCAGTAATGGGCGAATAGTGAATCGAAGTAACTTTTGTATCCCACCTGACTGAGAATTGGCTTCATAAACGCGGCCTTGGGTAATTCCTCTGGGATACCATCTAAAGCGTTGGTCGTTTCGGATGGCATCGGTTGCAAGGAGAAGGTGGCCTTTACAGCCTCCTTTGCAGGTACGACCACAGTCACTTCGTTTGGGTTCTGGTCCTGGACAGAAGATTTCTGGTGTTGGCAGGAGGATTTCTGGTCCTGGCCGGAAGATTTCTTGATTGAGGCGTAGTCCGGCCCATTCGGCTGTTGCTTGGGTGGTTTTTGGAGAGCTTCCAAAGCGTCAGACCATTTCACAGAGTACCGCTCACTAGTTGACGGTTCACGAGCGGAATGGCAAGTTTTCGGCGGCAGTTGACGAGGCTCAGAAGCCTCTCGGCTGCTGCTGCAACTATCCGACGAAGACGGCTGAGAAGTTGGTGGCGTCCGCCATTCCGCTGAAGGTATCTGGAAAAGTACTACTTGAATCTAGGAGTCATTCTAAAATAGAATAAGGTCACTGTGTGAAGCCTCCGGATGCGCCATGCCGTGCCTTGGTTCTCTCAAAAGGGACCGGGAGAAATCAAAATTGTTCGGGCATAAGTTCCAGTCTGCACTGGCCAGACAAGGTTACAGTGTCTGAAAGTGCAGTCCGAGCTGATCGTGTACGGGCGGCGTCAGACCTAGTGCAGTGCCTCCCTAAAAGCTCGCTTTCTTACTTGCTGTTCTCGAAGGGGCGCATTTGTGAGTGGTGCAAAATGATAGACCCGGCTCCGTCTTTAGGACAGAGTAGGCTGTACCATCAAGACAACGAACACGGACTGTTTCATGTGCTGGACACGTACCTGGTCGCTAAGAAGGGGTTGTATCCGGTTTAGGATGTCGTATTAAGCCCTAGTTGAAAATATTCTCGTGCTGCGAGGAATGTTCTTCTGGTTCTTGTCTTTTCTCATTTTTTTCCGGTTTTATGGGCGCTGTGTTTTCTACCTACCCACCTCGTGCTGTAGAATTGTACAACTACTACTCTGATAGTAGAAATTAGTAACTGGTAGCTGATTGAGGTGACGGAAAGCTTCGGGGGGGACGTACCAGAGGAGGATTTTTCGAGTGGTGTCGTTTTTTTTTGCGAATTTCCCCTCCTCCTACAGGACATGCTCTTAGAGTATAGGCTATTTCGCATTGAACATGCCACAGGGATGCCGACAGAAGTAGATTTCAAGGGTTCCGAGTGAAAACGAAATGCATGGCGCAACGCAAAATGGGTGGGCTGGCAACACTTCAACTTTCTCATCCTGTATCTTTACTTACCATATTGTTCTTGTACTTTTCACTGAGCTTCTCTGAACTACCTCGTTGAGGTGGTGGCGGTGGTACTTTTTCGTCATCCTTGCTCCTCCTTGAAAAGCAAAAGTATTTGACAAAGGCTAGGTAATGAAGCAGTCCGTACCCAATCCTGCCCAGAGTACTTGTGCTTAAATTGGGTGCCGATGCAGTAGACATGCCAGACACGCACTGCTCGTAATCAGACTCTCTGAAACTTCATTCGTTGCGGTGTTTGTTTGCCGCTTGTTTACACCGAAGCATAAACCGAGTGCGAAATAAACATAAACAAGATTAAGGAACTTACGGCGTCGTTCTGTACAGATTATGCTCATTTATATATTCTATGACGTCATCGTCCAAGCAGTACTTGACGGATTCGCCACGCCGTAGCGCAGTCCTACAAAGATTTACCAATCTTTGTCAAGGTAACGACTGGATAGAATAAGGGAACACTTACCTAATCCGAGAACAGCGGAGATCATTTGGGAATGTCTCGTCTTCAATTATGTATATATTTTTCTGAAAAAGGGTTCTTGTAATGATTGCAACTAGAGTACTCTGATTTCAAAGTCACAATCCACGCTGATTGAATGGGCGGAGTTGGGCCTGTCACTGCGTTCTACTCACTAATGTGCTCCGTTGAGCTTAGCCAGCAAAGTGAAGGGGCTCAACGGTGAGTAAAGCACTCTAGTTGAGTAGCTCCGCCTATTAAATCAGCGTGGATTTCCTCTACTATTCCTACCTGATATTGTCTGAGAATGTCTGTGAGGTAGATTGTTTGTGAGGGATGTGTTCGACCACGTTTCAGCACAATTAATCCGTGTCGTTGAAGGAGCTCTCTGATCTACAATTTATAGGAATAATAATAATAATAATATAATAATAATAATAACAATAACAATAGCAATAATAATAATGGTAATAAAAATGATAAAATAATGAAAGAAATGAAATAGTGGCCAGGAGAATCGAGTTACGGCAGGGCGAAAAGAGGGCGTCGCGTGTTGCTGCGCTACCCTTTTATGCGATACGTCCCGCATCGAAGATAGGTTACTACTTCACATACATGGGCCTGCCCACATCTCTTGGCACGCACCCAAAAAATAAAATACAGCTAAGAACATAAAAGTGTTCCCAGGAAATACCTCATTGTGAGTCCAAAGAGGAGGTTTATTTGACTGAATAGAGACAAGATCGTCGAGTACTTCACTTCCACAAACGTACAGCACTCGAATCGGTTCGTCATGTTTTTGTGAAAGTTTCTGAAATTTATATACCACTATTTACACAAAATAAGGGTCCGGTCTCACTAGAAAGATGGGCGATTCTACAGGATATAGAGTCAGGCGATGTCGATTAAATGTAATGCTCCTCCTCACAAGATTATAAGTTTGGGAGAACAGAGTCCATACAGGGTATATAATAACCCCCAAATTGCGAGTGAAATAAAACGTGTCGGGCCGTGGAAACACACCGTGGGGCATACCGTGGAGCTGCATCACAGTTCGATTGAAATAGGTGGAATACGAGCTGCGAGCATGGCACCCAGTGCACCCAAAACCCCTCGAGTGACGCCCACGCGTCACCTTTGTAGGTGAGGAGCGGCTTTGGCGTCGCTCCCACTTCCCGGCATCACCCCGGCGCTCCGATGGACTACGAGCAGATATAGCATGGGTCAAATCCAAGGGCCCTTTTGACATCCTCTGCGGAGCTGCAGGACTCTTGATAGTAAGGGGTATCGGGCGCAGTTCGGGGACGGGGCCATTTTGCACTTTTGCTACTTCCCATCGACGTGTCGACCACCTCTTCTCGAGTTGACAGGTTTACCATGATGGCTTGACGACCTTGCTCCAGCTTCACAAGAGTTCACAGGTTTCGCCAGAGTGAGACTTGTAAACCGGAACTAGGGAAGCAATGATAGTACAAAATGCCCCCCCCCCGTCGCCGAACTGCGCCGGTGTATAGAACAGTATTGAGGTTCACGATACTCTGCGATAGAGAGTAACTGAAAGATCAGGCCCCGGACGCCCGCAAAAAGTAAAGTTTAAGTAAAGCCTACAGGTGCATGCTCGAAAGGTTGAGGACTACCTGGTGAAAAACAAAGGACTCAGCCACATTTAGCAATACAAGCAGTCCTGTAGGACGGAAAAACGTCTTCAAGAAAGGTTTGTCTGAAGAAAAGGCCACAGAAGTTCACAGAAGGAAGAAGGTGCCCTGGAATAAGCGAAAGATGGGTCCAAGAACAGCAGCGGGCGCTACGTTACGGAATTAGCGCGAGGGAGAGGGAGAAAAACGCTTTGGGCCGGAACTAGTGAGAAGAATAACTCAAACAAGGGCAAGCAGTGCAATATGTTGACGAGCGGAAGTATTTCCTCGCTAGGTAGAGGACTAGTAAAGCAGGGGAGTGTCAAGGAATCTTGAAAGAGAATACCTTTTGATAGTGCTTCAAGACGTTTATCTGCCGCACTGGAGTCCGTTGAGTGCACTCGAAATCGCCAGCGCTGCAAAGAGAACTTCTTATTGAGGGACGACAGTAAAGGGAGAAAGCATTCAACAGTTACAGTTACTTTCTAGTATGGGTTCATTTTTGGTTATCCCAAAGTCTTGCACCGACGATCCGGAGAGTTTCCTTTTGTAATACAAGCTTGCTCGCTGCAAATCTGTGGCGGTCGGAAGGTTGGGTTTGGCTCGACGCTAGCCAGTTTTCCACCAATATAAGTGGCTTGTCTGCTTCTTTGGTGGAGAATGAGCTGGCACCGCAGTGAACCCAACCTTCTGACACGCGAAGAAAGCCCTCCCCCCCCCCTTCCCCCACTCGACTCACCCTAGCGTCTGCAGCGATGGATCAGTGGTACTAATAAGGTTTGGGAGCGAAAAAGACTGACTTGTGGCACAGCTGACACCGAATGTCATCTTTTGGGCCAAATGTGCCATAGTGATAGCAAGTGAAACTCTCATGCAGCGCGCGAGGTTTCCATCATTTCTTTCCAAATTTCAGGCGTAAGATTTTGATTTGTTCTGAGATAACTCACCGTATCCAAAAATTCTTTCTTACAGCCGTTTCCACCATTCTCAGTCGGTGTTTAGCTGGTGTACAGGTTGTTGGCGAGTCTCCACTGACACTCATGATACCCTTCAACGAGTGAGATGAAATCATCAAAAGGCAGCTGGCACAATAAATCCCTAGAGAATATCAATGCACCTGGAAGGACGGAATCCCGCGCCCCGAGCAGACGCTGTGCAGCGCCTTTCCCAAGGAGGGTACCTTTTTAGACTACATCACAGAATGCAAACATACCGACCCGGATGGCCATATGTCTTCTAATAGATGGACGAAAAGGCGCTTGGGTTGGGCTTTAAAGGCAGATGGCACGATGGTTCTCTACTTAGACTGAAATTGCTAGTAGGGCGCTGTATAGTGGGGAAATGGCGAAAGAACGGAGAAAAGGTCAAAATCCGGCGAAGAAAAAGCCTCCGTTCTCAGTGACTTGTAAATCGATTTCGGACGAGTTTTCCGTACGCATGCTTTGACAGATCACCTCATTATCGAGGATACGGCTGCCCATATGGTACAATATATGCGCATACAGCATCACCGGCCCCTTCCATTACCAATCCTTTTGCTTCATAATTTCCTCAGCAAATGAATGAATACGAGCGTCAGAAACGGTCGTCCGTTTGTGGGCGGGCGGCAAGGAAGGCGTTTCGGGACGTATAGGGCGTTATAGAGGTACCCTCCTTGGAAAAGGCTTCACGCAGCGCCTGTCCGAGGTCACGGAATTCTGTTAAGCCAGTTGTACAAATCCTACACCTGTATAGCGATTTATCGTGCCAACTGCCTTTTAAAAATGCTACGAGCCGCGTTATGTCAAATATCATGAGTTTAGGACCGGAAGACATTTTAGTTCCCATATCAAAAGAGATGTTCGTGGGATCATCGGGACGTGTGTTGGAGCCAGCCATGGCCACCTATCCCAAAGTTGATGTCATCTTGAGAACGCCACAATTGCTGGAGACTGCCCTGGCTGCGCTCCAATCAACGCCCCTTCATAGTCCTTTTGCAGGGGTATTGACCAGGGCACATCATCGTTGTGGTAATCACAACGGGGGATGGGTCGAATTTGACCGCGAGGGAGGGGATGGCGGTCGTATTTTGCAGGAATTTATCAAAACGCGACGGCGTGCCATGCTATTGACTCGATCGCGGTGGCGGCGGCGGAAGTTTGCGGATGAGAGGCGCATCAAGGTTTTCTTATGCCATTTCCCTTCTTTCATGCACGCACTGTGAGCGTCTCTACCTGAACCGGGAAGTGTGCATCGTCGCCGCGCTCACGAACGAGCCCGTGGACACTCCCCTTCCAAAGCCAAGATATGCACGCACTGACGTATCTGCATTTACGTCTCAACCATTCAACAAGACAGCTTTCACGCCTTATGCATTCATTAAGGTTCCTAAGTTGTAAAAGCTGTGGAAGAGTTTCCGTGGACGTTCGCAAGATGAAGCTATCGACCACTCGAGCGCAAAATCAATACTCATTTCGAAACACGAGGGTCAAACCGTGATAGCAGTATGACGGGCCTCCCGTAGAACTAATTATTGTGCTAGTGCGCTTTTTAAGAAGTCATATGCTACACGGACATTTGAGTGATCATGTGTGCCACAGCAAAAACTGAAAGACCACCAACCTCGACTACTTTGCAACCCATCGTACGAACCAAGAAGTCCCGAGATCGTTCTGAAATATTGAATCAAGGATGAGGAGAATTTGGGTACTGGTAATAAAGTATT